TAGAAAACTCGTTTACGCCTTAACCTGAAGTTCAAGCGTTGTTCTGACGGTACTTTGGTCTACCAGTTAAACTATACCCTGAAGGTGTTACCTTTGAGTATACCTATGATCTTCTATACACTATATGCAAATGAGACCCTTGAAGAGGTTATGGAACCCAAAGTTCCATATCTGAGTTCAACTTTGTGCTTTGTTGTACTTAGCTTATTGTGTTAAATAGGACATCTCATTCGTTGTTGATCTATTGGTAAAGATACAGTGTCGTCCCTACACGCAACCACTGAATTGGTATTAAAGACATTTTTCCGTTACCCTGAAAGGTACTATGAATTTGGGCTAATCTTAACGCATCCCGAGCAGATCTAACCCCCTTGATCCTCGGAATAATGATTGCCTTGTTGTTATGCTGACGCTGGTTACTTATCAAACTCGGATAAGGCATATCCCCAAATGGTTATGTCTTTACCATTAGGGATATCGCAATGTCGTGGAGGTCCACGATATGACCTTAGTTGAGAAATCTTCGAATCGTTCCAAGACTCACCTCACTTCACTACGCCACACGTGAAACATGGTTAAGAGCTCTTGTTGAGCATATTCGAAGTACGTGAGCTGTTTTCATCCATCGTTGAGTCCCAATGATGATCCATGAAGATTATGACGTATGTATCAACCCGACCAAGACATGATACATCAACGAAGTCAACACTAAGACATATTGCATCTACACTAAGTCAACCTTCCAGAAGCTTGTCCGAGGAATTGGTATGCCTAACTATTCATATGAAATGCTTGTAGTTCTCATTTGGAAGTTTTGTCAAATTCAGGGGGAGTATCCAAAAGTATACTCACTTGATCTTAATGTACTCTTTTTCCCTAAGATTAGAAGCATTTTTCCCACTGGGTTTTTGCTACCTAACTAGGTTTTGATGAGGCACCCATCCTGGGCTGGTCATACCCTTGTGAGTTCTTCTACTTGCGTCCAAAAGACGTATGATTTTAACTTAAGCAACTTCTCACTTTTCTCCTTAGTCTATGAGTTTTTCTCCCACCTTGGGTTTTACCATAGCGAGGTTTTGTGAGTTTTATCTTTATGCATTTTTCCGTTGACTTGAGACTCGCATTCACTTATTGTGTCGACGACTTCATCACGGAAGACCTGATGCACCATTTAGTTGAGTATATACACATTCAAAGGGGGAGTGTTGCAATCCTATTAGATTAGGAATGTGATTGTGTAAATCCTAGTGTATCTAGGGATATCTTGGAATATTGCCTAGGGTTAGATATTATTCTATTAGAGTTGTAATCCTATTAGGGTTAAGGATTTAACCTTTCCTATTACTATAAATAAAGATACACACCTCACAATTACACATCTCTCTCTTTCTCTCTCTGTGACGCACCTCTCTCTATGACCTCCATAATTATTTTAGTAAATTATGCCTACAACAACATTTAATTTGATTAAAAATAGTAACATCTGTGGTTTTTTGTGGGAAGATTTACCAGATTAGATCGTTCAAGCTAATCCATAGAGATAGGGACGAGTGACTAGTTAGGGTTTAGCCACAACTAACTTAGTTGGATGGTCCCAATCAATTAGTTAATTAAGCACATAGCTTATTTGTGACCCATGTATAGTAGATCGAGTTTAGGATGGCTAAATGTTTGCTACCTATTGGAGATTATTGATGGTCCTACAGTTATCCCCTAAATTATAGTAACTTGGAAATGAATACCCAACAAAGTTTTTTTTACACCATATACTCCTTGTATTGTACGAATTTTAAATTTCTTTATAAATGAATATCGGTACTTTGAACTAATAAAAACAACAATATTTTTCGGTGAGGAAATTTCCGTTGTGGTTGTGGATATGAGTCTACTCTTGACTGCGCAATTCCAAGTTGGGATAAAGGCAAACAGATGAGATGAATCATATGCTGATAAAATAGAGGGAGTTCCAAATGCCAAAAAACGAAAGTGTGAATTCAAGGCTCTAGGTACTTGTCCCATAGGTTGGTTTTTCTTGTGGTTTGCATGTCATACACACCTATACTCCAAAAGCTGCTACAAAATCACACGTATCTTTTTGATTGAATTGTGTTGTAAGTTTTGCTTTTGAGATTAGTCCACCATGTGAGCACGGACAATAAAATGAGTCAGGATTATATTAGGTTAAGAGTTTGATTCTCTTAATTATAATAAAAGAAAGCATTCAAGTTTCTCGTATGCTTTTCAACTACACATACAACAAGAAAAATCATTCAAGTTTCTCAAGTTGAAGCATTTTTAAAATGATTCACGAGGTTTCAATTTCTTTCATATTGACCCATATCAGTTTATTCATTCAACTAGTTTTACTATTCAATCATTTATTAAATTGACCAGGTGACGAGGCCATTTCTTTCTCCATCTCTCTCCTAACTCAATCATATGAACAAGTGCAAAACTCAAAAGTTGCTACTTTGCTAGATACTTGTTTTAGACATAGAACAAGGATAAAAACCAAATGGTAAAGAACCATATTAACGTTGGTTTCTAAACTATATAGGCATATTGACGTTGACGGATGCTATGTGTTTATGGAGCCTATCTTGAAAAGGGAGGTAGATTGTCTACCTTTCTGTTTAGATGTCATTCTTATCTCCTCTTATTTTGTGTAGTCACGGATGTCAATATTTTATATTAATTTTTTAGTAGGGATAATAAGACAAAAAACAATAAGAATATAAAATGTTGATGTGGCTTAACTATTACTGCACAAATAAGAAGGGATGGAAAATGTATCCAAACAGAAGGGCAGACAATCTGCCTCCTTGAAAAGGATAATAGGTACTCCTCCTCCACTATGCCAAACAAACCAAAAAAAAAAAAAGAGCTTAAAAATTTGAATTTTAACGATAATACAAAATAAAAGGTAAAGTAAATAGTACCATAATTAATTTTTTAATGTAAAAATATAATTTTTTTAAAAATAAACAGTAGCAGAATATTTTTGTTAAAATTCTCAAACAAAAAGCCTCACATATCTCCTGTCATCAATTGGGAGACTTTGACCATTCAGAAACATCATGATTGGGTGGAACCTTCAAACTCAAGTGGCGCAAACTATGGCAATCAAGTAAGCAATTAAGGAAAGTGATCACACTTTTTTTTTCCCCTCATATTTATGTCTATTCTGTCAACCTGCTACTCATGAGTATAAATTTTATGTAAAATCTAACAGTTATAAAATCTATTAAATCTTTATATACAAAATTTAAAACGCTAATTTTGCCGACCATAAAGAAAAAGTTATTACTTGTGACCTTTAAATCGAATAATTAAAAAATAAAAAATAAATAAATAAGTGTTTAAAAGTAAAAAAAGACATATGAGAATTAATTTTTTTTAACAAACGATATTATCTATAATAAGAAAGTGGAAATAGAATTAACCTCACAATGAGCTAGTACTAAATGTGGTTCGAATTCGTTTTAACAAAAATTGAACTTAAATCTCTGACATATAAAAGCAGAAACTACTTTTTAAAACTTAAACAGAAAGACAAGCTATGTAACAAAATGAAAAAAACAATGCCTGCAAAGGGAAATTAAGACAGAAAAGGAAAGTGAGGAGGTTTGGAGGGACTTTAACCACATGGAATTAGGACTTATTATTTTACCCCAGTGCCAGTGCCTTGAAGTAATCATATTCTAGCAAGGATTGCAGCAAACGATGCAAACCCAACTGGCATAACTTCTTACTCTCTCTTTCTCTCTCTCTCTCTCTCTCTCTCTCTTTCGCTCACTCAGTGTTTTGGTTTGATTTGCTGGGTGTGGATCGACCAACGGTCAAAGTAAGGCTTAAAAAATTGATATTCCTCGATAAAGTTGCAGAGACCCCACACCAGTGGAAGCCTTCTTTAATCTTTATCAGTTGGGGGCAGTGGGAAGAAGAAAGTGCCAAGCACCCAAGACTTTTATCAGTTCGTAATTTTTGAATAGAAAGGATTAGATTGAGGAGGATTAAATTGTTTTTGAAATTTCAATAAAATTGGTATAGATTTTATATAAATTATTTACTAATTCAGTTGAATTAGAATGAAAACCAATATAATTATTAAAATATCTTTAGTTAAAATAAATTATTTTATATACCAGTTTTCTGACAGATTTTATATACTAATTAATTAAAACATGTTAATGCCCCAATTCACCAAATATTAAACACACTGAAATTTAATTTAATTTTAATTATTGTTAATATTATTGTTGAATTTCATATTAAATTGGATAACGGTTGGCGGTGTTGGGTTAATGCAAAAAGCAATCTTAGAATATTAAAAATAAGTAAGGATATAATAAGGAGGAAAAAATTCAATCCGATTCTTCCAACAACTTGGAATTCAAACACAACCTAAATGTAGAGAATCTAATTTCTTCAAATTTTGGAGTTGGATTTCAAAATTTGGATAAATCCCCCTAGCTTTTTTATTCCTTAATATTCGATAAACAATGGAGTAACCTGTAATCAAAATTCAATTCCGCAATTTTTTTTACCAAAAAAAAACAATTCAATTTCGTATTTTGATTCCGATTACCATTACATAAAGATAATATGCCACAGGTGACCACCAAAAATCCTAGATGCTGTCAAGCACCCTAGAAATCAAAAGATCAAGCCATCCGTGGAGATAATATCATATCACCAGATATCACCGGTTATATATATTTATCTAAATACTCAAGAAAGTGAACATTAAAACAAAAACAGCAAACCATCATGTAATAAGCAGGTGAACATTAAAACAAATTTTTTTTTTTTTTTGTCTTACAATACATTTGTTAAATTAATCACCGACAGAATTCAAACTCACACCTTCATAAAAGAACTCAACACTTTTCTTTCACTGTAGTAAATGGCCTTGCACCATTAAAACAAATTCTTGATGGACATAAAAAAAAAATATAAAGCATTTAAATTGCAGAATTGATGCAGAAACTCAAGAAAGAGAAGGATGGTGATTCCTATATGTTCATGAAAATTAAATACTTGATGGACAATGAGAAAGTTGCAGAAAATACAACTAGCTAGAGACCCATATCTTGGTTACACCAGTTAATAATAAAGAAACAAAAACTCAGCACAAACTTTTCTCCCCATACCTTCTATCCCTACTACTTTTGAAAAAACCATCTGTTTTCCTTTCAGACCCTAGAAACAACTTCTGCATCAATCACACAACCACAACGATTAGCACACCTGAAAACAGTAAGACTATCGAACTACTGGCATTAGGCTTCAAACTCCATGCCAGAAACCCGCGATCTCCTTAATATCGCCGCTCCTGAATTTGTAGAAAGATGAGCTTCGCCACCTTCCCTCATGCACTGAAGGTAAACTAAAACTTAAACCTCCATTTGCTCTATCCCCAGCTGGAAAAATCGAGCTCCAACACCTTTGTTGGATTCTGCACTGAGAGTATAAAGATTCATTCAGGCCGAAGTGAACCCTGTGAATAATTATGCTCTATTTACAGATTAAGAGGCATAAAACCAACGTCAAAAAACGCGACGCAACTCCTACTTTGTAAACTTCTAAGGTGTTAGCTGATTTAAACTCGCTACCATTATAAACAATTGCCCTAATTAAGTGCAGCCCCTTCTTGTTAGACTTCCATCTTCCAGGTCAGGCTATCAACATTAGCACTGTGATCTTTCTCCAGCGCAGCAACTTTGGCCCGGTGTGGTGCTACTGCAATCCCACCACCCTTTCCCCTTTCATCATGTGGAAGCTCGCTCGCTTCACTGATTGTCCCCGATCTTAAGTCAGCTGGGGGAATGAAGCAATCCATTGACAAACCTGGAACATTAAATGCAACCTCCTCAATTGTCCAAGCTTCTTCCATCCTTGTTTTGGTATGGCTCATTGCCATTTCACCAAACCTGAATAGGGTTACCACAGAACGCCCTGAGTGTGCAATCATGATTCCTTCAACAGGCCTGTAATCATCAAGGAATGAATTGATTGTGGTTTCCCAGTAAACAGCATCGCCACCATTGGACTGGATGCGGGTCAGATGCGAATCCTCCATATGAACAAGAAGCCCTGTTTTCTGGCTGAAGTAACCAAACAACACATGCCTTATGATCTCGGCAGGGCCTTCACTCCTGGCCTTCAGAGTCTGAGGATCAGCACAAAGCTTGAGGATGAAGCAATCCTCACCATTGATCTTCCTCTCTCCTATACATCTTGCATCGGCAAACATACTAGCCGTACATCTTGGATCTAGACCCTGAAAAGGAAAATGCGAAGACATTTATGAATTGGATGACTAATTTCATGGCCAACGAAAAGAAGCACCAATAACCACATAAAACTGCACCTGAAGTGCCCGACGCAAGGGTCTCACTGGTCCTTTCGCAGTATGAGCACCAAGCCACGGTGTATGCCTCCAGACAAGCTTCCCATTGCAACCGGCATGAACCTTGCTGCCACCCACTGCAAGCTCTACATACCACATGTCCGGACTCATCTGCCAGAGCACAAACCCACCTGACTCGGCACATCTAGAGGCATTTCTGGTCTTCATCACCTTCGTGGCCGTTTCAAACTCAGAAGCAACCATCCTAACCTTTCCCATGGCATAAGCATTTTTTATCGAGTTCTGCAGCTTCTGCCCACCAGATGCCGCTGTGTACTGTTGCAGTATGTACTGGGCAGAGGAAGTTTCCTGCAAAGATATCACACGTCAAAACCAACCCAACATCTACAATGCCGAATCAATTTTAGCGTAATTTTTCCCAACAAATCCGAATCTAAAGTACAAGCTAAAGAAAAATCTTCTACAATAAAATTACTAGCTGTCATGTTAGGTTGGTGAGAAAATGTGAAAACACAGGTAAGATAGAAGGAAAAATAAATAAATAAATAATTGTTCTGTATCTGGAAAATAAGAAAACAAATTCAACCAGCCAGTGAATCCCATTGGCCTGCTGAGCTCAACTTTCAGCAATATGTATCGGCTGCTTAAGATTCCATCGTGTCTAATTTTCACACTTAACTTTCTCGCTTGCCAAACAAGGAGAGACCAAGATTAAAAAAAGTAAAAAAAAAAAAAGAATCACCAACGTCTAAATCACAATTGAAGAAATTGGAGAAAACCAAATTTTAAAACAAAAGATTAAATAAACAAGGACTCTGGATGCAAATCGTAACCCTCCAATGATGTTCTTCAAATTTAAGCAAAACATGAAGAAATAAATAAATAATCAGTGGAAATCTATACCGTAAGAAGCAAATCACACCGATTGCAAAGAAAGAACCAAACTGTTTTTTTTTTTTTTTTGGGAGAAAAAAGCCAGAAGAATCCAACCATTTCTGTAAAATAAATCCAAAACCCAAATCTTAAATCTTAAATCTTTGCCGCAGTCAAAATTTATACAAATTCGAAATACCACCACCGCAGTCCCCAGCAGCATACAAACAAAATGCATGAAAGCAATTATTTTGTTGTTATTTTGCAGTTGCCATCTCAGAAACTAAGACAGAAAAGTTCAAAGAAAATGGCGCAAAAGCCCCAGATGAACTTAGAACAGAGCTAGAGAGACAATGTTAAAGAGAGAGAGACTGACGATGGGAGTGTCCTTGATGCTGAGATGGGGGAAAGGGTCGGTGGTACTGACGTGGAGGGGGGCGAGAGGAGCACCCATGACTCCAAGCAGCAGTCTCAGATCAGACCTCTTGCTGTTGTTATGCGCGACGGAGCTCATGGAGGGAGTCCGCGACAGCTGCCCTCGCATCCACTGGCCCAAGCCCGACCCGACCCGCTTCGAATCCCCAAGTTCCCCTCCATCAGGATCCGGACCCTCCATCACCGGCCTCAGGCTCCCGGATCTCCCAATCAACGCGTCCGGCTGCGCTACCAGCTGGACGCCGTGCCCATTTCCGTGATGGTTCTGCTTCTTCCTCCGGAGCAGACCCGTCATGGGCGACCCGGACCGAGCCGGGCTGCTGGCCCGCGACCGCGAGGGGCTGAGACCCCGAACCACCTCGTCCTTGAGAGCAGAGAAGAAGCCTTGTTTCTTCTCCATTTTTCGGTTGCGAAAGTCCTGATTCCTCCTGACCCGGTTTTTTCTCGACCCGAGAACGTCGTGTGGCGGGTGGGTTTTTGTGGACTAAGAGAAAATGGGTAGGAAGGAGTTAGCACAGAGAGAGAGGAGGGCTAGAGAGAGTGGAGAGTGGTGGTGGTTGTTGAAGAAGAAGAAGAGTGAGAGTAGTCGTGAGACTGGTTCTTCATTTCATAGAGAGAGAGAGAGAGAGAGTAGTGGGAAACTGAAGCATTTGGGAGCAAAAATGTATTCAAGAGTGTGACCTTGGGTGGTACTGTGGGAAGGATCCACGATTTTATTATGTTTTTCTTATTTTTAATTTATTAGAGGAAAAAGAGATCATATTTTCCTACTTCAATTTGTAAATTACTGGTTTGGTCCCCACTCAGCCAAAAAAAAAAACAATAAATAGCAACAATAAATTTTCATTTCTTATTTTGTAAATTTGTAAATGTAAAATTAGGCGATGAATATAGAATTTTGTGAAATGTGTTATATATAGGCAAAAGAGAGACTAGAGATTGAAATAGAATGGGATCTATGTATCACTCTGTCTTGTTCTCTTTACTTGTGTTAGATAAGGGAAATGAAGGCTAAAGGAAAGAAGTGAAAGAAATTTGTATAATTTCTGCTTTCTGCTCTCATCTTTTGTTGGTTGTAAGAAAAAAACGAAGTTGTTTCTATGTATCTTCAAAGTTACAATATGACTCCTTATATGGGTAAAAGTTGCAGAGACAAACAACCTTAATCTTACAACTATGACAATAACAAAGCAAAGAATGTTGTAGCAAATAGTAAGGTGAAAGCTTGAGAACTATTTATCCTATGTAAAAGTCTTAAGTGAATAGTAAGGGCTTCTGCAACGTGCGTGGGACATTTATATTTACAACACTCCACCATGGATACCCACGTATCAGTTATAGTTGCCTCGTTAAAACCTTGTTAGAAAAAAATTACTAGGAAAAACCCTAGTCAATGGAAAAAGAGTACAACTTTGCTTGGATCATTGATATAGTGTTGAGTGTGCTTTTGATGCCTTGTAAAACCTTGCTAGGGAAAACCAAATGGAAAAAGTCATAGTCAAAGGAAAAAGAATACAACACACGTGTTCTGAATGCTCCCTTTGATTCCGCACTTCAATCTAACTGATTAATAAGTCGGGGTAATCTGACAACATGCACCAGCTTCTAGAATGTACACTATGGTAGAGATTCAGTGAAAGGTTTACCAGATTATCGTTTGAACGAATTGTTTGAATTCAATAACCTTAACATTCTGAGCCCATATGTACAGAAAAACATTGGAGATATGTGATTACTTTTATCGCCTTTGATGAATCCTTCTTTCATTTAAGCAATACAAGCTGCATTATCTGCATGAACGATACTTAAAGGGTTTTTTTTTCTTTAAGATAGGCCTCATGAATTTCGGATATGGTGGATCATTGATCTTAACAAAAACCATTCACGGTTGGCTTCATGGTGAACAAATATTTCTGAGTGATGGGAAGATGTAGCAACTAGTATTTGCTTTGTTAAGCGCCATGATATTGCTATATTTCCATAAGTGAACACATATTGAGTTTGTGCGGGGGCTTTTTCCAGATTAGAGAGAAAATCAGCATATGCATATCCAACAAGATTCTGGTTATTTTATGGGTTTCTCATAATAGAGTAGGCCCATGCCTGTTATCCTATAATGATATTATAAAACATCGAGCAGAACTATATCTTGCTAACAAGTTTATTGAAAAAGTTATATTTAATCTAGTACATTGTGCTATATACAATAAATTACCTGTTGCACTCAGATGTGGTACTTTTGGACCAAAAACAATTTTGTCATCTTCTTTCAAGTGAAATGGATCTTTCTTAATGTCAAGGGACCAAACGCCCATTGCCAGTGTCCCTTCTCTTGAAATCTTTGCTAGCATGCGCCACTATGTAACACTCCCTTGGGCAATATACTAAATCAATGAAACCTACCAGCTGCATAAGATCTTTAATACGACCAACCATATTAGTAATAAACCCCAGCATTCTCATCCCTAATTCTTCAATAGAACCGACACCTCCAAAAGAGTAATTCCACCGCCAAAGTTGAGAACCCATTAGAAGCAACAAAAGACAGCCCTGCCCATATTGGATTTCATTCGATTGCAACAACATAGATTGCCACATTCCCTTGTAATACAATTGCACCCCTAAAACTACTAGCATAGTTGCAAATCACGTGCTAATAAAGAATACAATCAAATGCCAGTCGTAATTTGTTAAGAGCAAAGAAACAACAATACTTTAAGCTAGTTTTACTTGTGAAATCGCAATGCGATTTTGACTCCATAAAACCTTAAAACGTCGAGCAAATAAATGAATGTGCAGTTTCAATCAAATGCCCAATCCTTCGTCATAAATTTACAAGATAAAAAAGCATAACTACCCACTATAAGGGCAATGGGAGAACAAAAAAAAATAATAATAAAAGGTTTTCTAACTTTTGGATTCAGAAAGTAAATTTAAAATTTAAAAAAAAAAAAAAAAAAAAAAAAAAAACCAATACAAGTGTTTTGTTTTTGTGTTGGAAATTCATTTGCTCCTCGTGAAAGCTTCTAGTCGAGTTTATGCGACCACAACGTTGAAATTTTGACCCATTTTTTAGTTGACAGTTTATTTCCTCTGTATAAACATTCTGCTCTATTTGCAAAAGCAAAGACGTGGAGGAAATCATGAACATGCAATTCTAGTTTTACAGAAATACCCAATTTCTTTCATCCGATTATTTTTTCTGATTTTTTAGAAGAGTGCTTTACTGTACAACCTCCCCCCAAAATTAGATCGTGGGATGGTTGGAGAAAACTGCTTAACTTTGGCAATTCCGTCGTACTCCATTTGAGGGGTTTAGCACGTCCCCTTTTTTTTTTTTCTTTTTATTTCCAATAAAAGGGATTTTAAATTTATGATTCTTCTACAAAACTACCTCTGGTTTCTTCTTCTTCTTTTTTTTTTCTTTTTTTTTAACCAGTTTTGGATTTTATTTGTTTGAGGGACTTATATTCAATTTTTCTTGTGAAGGCTTGTGACCCCAAAATAGATTTGTGGCTTTCTAACAGTAAAGATAGATTAAACTAATTAACATGATTAGTGAATGAGTGACCCCTAAGGTCATCTCCAAACCAAGGGTCCAGAGGGCCGAAAATAGCCCGAAAGTCGTCTCCAACTGAGGGCTAGGCCAAGGGGCTCGTGGGCCCACATGACAAAAAAGGGCTAAAGAGCCAATCGGCTAGCCCAACCCAGCCAGCCCTTGGCGGGGCCACAAATTTGAATGCAACCGTTATATTTGAAATTTTTTTTTTTTACAGTTTTTTTTTTTTTGTAAGCAACATTAAGCAAGATTAAATAACATTAGCAACGGCTAGTTGACGTCAGTTACCGTTGGATTTGAAAAAAAAAAAAATTTGGCCAAAATTTTTTTAAAAAATATTAAAAAGTTCTCATTTTTTTCTTGTAAATTTAAGTTGTTGTAGTTGGCATGCTACGACTGAAGTTGCGGCATGCTGGTCGACACCCGAAGGTGACGTAACCAAAAAGGAAAATGATGCATAAGAAAAATATGGATAAATTTAAAAATAAAGCTAACATTTATTTAATCTAAAGTAGCGAGTGCTTAGTAGTAGGAAGAAACCATAAAACACAAACGTTCAGAGCATAGATGATAGTACGACAAAAGTAGTATAGTCGAAACTAATTAAAGTACTTAATACACAACTCAGGAAAAAGCCCCTACCTTTATCTATGGAAATGTCAGAATACGCTAGAGATTCCTTGTATGCCACAACGAGTTCAACTATCTAAGTCTTGGAGAGGCGAAAAACAGAAGGGTGAGTGGGCAAAAACAAAGGTTTATAAAATACATTTATTTTCTGAATATATTAACCCCTCGCCGTAAAACATGTATAGTTTCCAGAAAATCATACTACGTATAAGTATGAAATCAACTATAAATCAACAATAAATCCATAAATACACCAATCATAATATCTCAATTGTAGCATAGGTAAAATCAGGTGCTCATCAATCTATGCTAGCACACGAGTTCATGTAGAGGGATTCTGACATGAACAGGACTGGGTGTAATCATAATATATGCCTTAATACTACAATCACGTGAAGACAGGTGCTAGGCGCATCACATATGAGTCGAAGTTGCCTATTGCAACTTGTACAACAAGACTGACACCTATAATGGATCCAAGGTGAGCATGCGGTGCGATATGAACATACACATGAAGCTTGGCCCTGGTTTGGGCGAGTACTACACCGGTGCAAGCATGCATTATGAGCAATTAATGTATGAACATGCCATGACAATATGTAAATCTCAACAATATAATGGCAATTTTAAAATTAAATAAAATGTGGCATGATAAGGGTAAAATTAATCAAAACACTTGAGAAAACTATAAAACTTTATATATTATATATAAAAACAAATGCCTACTCACTGATACGTCGATGGATCGTAGCCTCCTAGCCTTGTTTGTCCTCGTACCTCCTCGAGGCAAGTCTCACCTATATGTGAAATAACTTTACTAATTAATTAATTAATTAGGACATACGCTAAAAGGTTAGGAAAATCCCCCATAGTTTGCTTAAACAGAGGGTTTAAATATATGAAAACATTATACTTGACGTCACGGACTTATACACATCAAGCACGCGCCGCCCAGAGGCCGGACGCACCCTCATGCGCCGCTAGGTCAAGGGCACACGCGCACCCACTAGCAAGCCACGAGCCTAACAAACTAACAGAAACCCTAGGGAATATTCCGTTAAGTTTAACGGTGTTACCAAACGACATCAGAATATTCCGTTAAGTTTAATGGTGTTACCAGACGACATCAGAATATTCCGTTAAGTTTTAACGGAATATTTTCCTTCTTCTTCGGTTGTCCTCCTTTGTCCGCTATCGTCGAAGCCATTTGGTTCGTCGGTTTTTGGAAAAATTCGCCAGATTTCTGGAAAAATTTTAAAACTTTATATCTTCTTCATTTCTCAAGCATTTTTTATGTACTTTATATGGAAATGAAGCTTATGAAGAGTAGAACAAATCTGTACCTTTCGAAAGTCCAAAAAAGTGGACAGAAATGGGCTAAAATTAACTCAAAGCCCTCAAACCTATTTTAGTTGTCTCAAAACTGTGTGTTTTCACGATGGCTCCACTTCGAAGTTAGGCTAGGGACTCTGAAGAG